TATAATTTTTTAAAGATTTTATTTATTTATCTGACAGAGAGAGAGAGCATAAGCAGAGGGAACAGCAGCGGGAGAGGGAGAAACAGGCTCCCTGATGCTGGGCTCGATCCCAGGACCCTGGGAACATGACCTGAACCAAAGGCAGACAATTAACCAACTAAACCACCCTGATCCCTTGGTTTTAATTTTTAAATCACACTTTTCTAAAGAATTCCTTTTCTTATTCTTTCTTTAGCAATCTGAAAAGTAACTATTAATAAACCAATAGTTATTAAGACACTTCCCACTGCCTTAATATTAGAAAATTAAATATCTAAGTAGGGGACTCAAGTGCATAAACACAGAAAAGAGTAAGCAAGCATATTCCATAAATAGTTCTTATGAGATTCTAGATTACCTGCCTGCCATAAATTTCTCACTTTAATATACCTAAAACACCCTCCCACCCAAAGACGCACATAGTAATTACTCTAAAAGATAGCTCACATTAAACTTTTTTTTTTTTAAAGATTTTGTTTATTTATTTATTTGACAGACAGAGATCACAAGTAGGCAGAGAGGCAGGCAGAGAGAGAGAGGAGGAAGCAGGCTCCCCGCTGAGCAGAGAGCCCGATATGGGGCTCGATCCCAGGACCCCGGGATCATGACCTGAGCCGAAGGCAGAGGCTTTAACCCACTGAGCCACCCAGGCGCCCTCACATTAAACTTATTAAGGAACATCCTTTTTAAAGGGTAGAACACTGCCTTTAATGGTTTGGCTAGCTGAAATTACATTTTGGAATATGATTTGGGGACCTGATTAGTGGAAATTCTGGTCTTTGTCAGTGATGCCTGAAATAAAGGGGATTCTTGAAAGAAATCCCAAGAAACCCAGACCCCTGACTGCACACTGAAATGCAAGTACTTATCATCTACCGCTCCATGTTAATTCAAGTTAGAAACTGACAAGCAGGGGCGCCCGGGTGGCTCAGTTGGTTAAGCGGCTGCCTTCAGCTCAGGTCGTGATTCCAGGGTCCTGGGATCGAGCCCCCCATCGGGCTCCCTGCTCAGCAGAGAGCCTGCTTCTCTCTCTCCCCCTCTCCCTGACACTCTGCTTACTTGTGCTCTCTAACTCTCCGTCAAATAAACAAATAAAAAAATATATAAAAAAAGAAAAAAGAAACTGACAAGCAGAGGTTTGCTGTATCAAAGTCCCATTATCTTCCCCCCATACCACCCAAAAGGGCCATAGTAGACAATGACAAAATGCAGGTCCTCAAAGGCTACCATTTTTGAGGAGCTATGGAGATATAGCTATAGATACAAAAACAGCCACACAAACAAAAAACAAAACAAACAAACAAACAAAAAACAGTAAGGAATGTCTTGAAAGAAATCAAATAAGGGAACAGGATAGGGAGTAAAGGCTTCTGCAGAACCACTTCAGATGGGGGAAGGGAGTCAGAAAAGGTTAATAAAAAAGTGGCATATGGCTGTAATGTATATACGGTGATATGCAGACGTATATTATGAGACATGCCTAAAGCCAGAAAAAAGAGATTGTCTCTCAAGCCTGCAGGATGCCCAGACAGTTGCAATGACCACTGGGTAGATAGCAGGGCTTTATTACTTTTAAATCCAAAAGGAGACTGAATAATGAACTGAAAAATAGGAGGTCACTTTTTTACTTCCCCATTCCCTTTCCTGCTACGAATTACTTACTAAGTACATGAGACCGCTCTTGCGCTTTGCAAAGCAGCATCGAAAGTCCCCGAAACAAAAAAACCTTACAGTGGCACCACGTTTAAGAGTCTCACACAGGGGTACACCTTCACTAACAGTAACAACAGTGGCTTCAGGGGAAGAGATCATTACTGGGCTTACTGTTCTCACCACCCGAGACACAAATGGTTCCGAACCCAGGCATCGAGCAGCATACCAAGAGTCAGACGCAGAGGCAGAGATGAAGCCCACAGTCACCATGTGCTCCCCTGGCAGGCTGTCAAGTGCTACCCTGAAAGGCGCATCTGGGTGCATTTCAAAATACGAAATGCTCGGTCTTGAACTGCGGGCTCAGAAGCTGACAAGTGAATTCTGAAGGGGTTGCCCTGCTCCCTGGAGGGGCTGGCTCCTGGAAGGCTGGCTTCCATGTGTCAGGGGGATGTGGCCCTTACCAGCTAGTATTTTATCACCATAAAATAACGAGGCTGATAAACAGCCTCGCTCTGAAAAGACCCATATGGAGTGTTGGTTCAGGAGGAAGATTCCCAAGCCCCAAACACAAAGATTTAGAATGAGAACTGATAGGGTCAACTTTTTTTTTTTTTTAACTAACACCAAAATTACTGTTAATGCAGGCAATATAAGGCATGTACTTGGAAAAACATAGACAACTTTGCAGATGTGGACTTCGTCGAAAAGGACAGTTTTCCAAACTCTGTCATATGCCGGTCAGGGTTTCATCGGCATGTATATGGTTGTGACCTTTTAGCCATTTTATATTCCACAAAGGTTATAAGAGGACCCCCACCCCCCTCCCACAGCATGGGGGAATTCTGTGACTGGGCTGGAAACAGGTGAGAGATGTCCACAGCAATACAATCTACTAATTCAAAAATATAGAATTATTAAAAACACCACCACCACCACCTTATGTTGAGTAACAACAGTGGTGAGGATAATAATCATATTCAACACTTCATGTATGAGCCCTATAGGCCAGGGGTTACCCTACTGAAGCTAACAAAACCATTAACATTTTTGGCTAGATAACTGGGACACCAAAAATGTAGTCACAATTAGAGTCAGTGAGTCTATGGCCTTGGGGCCCAGCCCTGCTAGACGTGGCTTTGGTTGGTTTTTTTTTTTTTTAACTGTATTTTATTATTCTTTTTAATTGAGTTAGAGTTCAAATACGATAAAATCATCCATGTTAAAAAGTACGATGCACTGGGTTGTAGAATATTCGCTACATTGCAAGAACATCACCACTATCAAATTCCACAACATTTTCGTCAACTTAAAAAAGAGACCCAGACTCCTGAGCTGTCACTCCCCACGCCTTCCTTCCTCCAACCCCTGGCAAACGCTCACTGACTTTTTGTCTCTATTCGATGCCTGCTTGTATAGGACGTAATTTTAATGCTCCCTTCAGAATTTCCAAGTGAAATTTTGAGATATTACATATATATTCATATAAATGTTATGAGATGTTTAATATGTACATCATCTCAGTCTGTGCATTCTCCCACATTATTAGCTATGCTTCTACAGCTGGACTTCCAACCGCTGAAAGAATTCTGTCAAACTAGATAGTGCACACAGCATCTAACTAACTCTAGTGTTGTTGGAATCTACATCAACCTGTTGAGGGTTTGTTTGTTTTTTTAAGGTTTTATTTATTTATTTTTGAGAGAGAACATGAGTAGGGAGGAGGGAGAGGGAGAAGCAGACTCCCTGCTGAGCATGGAGCCCAACGTAGGACTTGATCCTAAGACCCTGAGATCACGACCGGAGCCAAAGGCAGACTCTTAACTGACTGACCTACTCAAACACCCAGCATACGGAGTTTTTAAAAAACTAGCAACCAGGTTTAAACACTGTGTTTTGTATTTCAAGAAACAATTTCAAAAAGAAGCTACACATATTCTTTTTAGTGGCTGCATGTTTGGAAGCTTGGCATGGAGGGTAGACAGTGGGTTGGAGGGAAGCTTTGTGTCCCTTCTGTCCCTATGACATCATATGTCTGGAGCAATCAGGAGGCTAGCTCTTTTTTATCACAAAGAATTTGATGGCAGTCCCTATAGGGCATTTGTTCCTCTGAAGTACTTCCCAGAGATTCTATTTTAAAAGTCCCATAGTAGCTCTGTTAAACATTAAAATCATATGCAAACTAATATCAAAAAAAGACTATTTTTTTAAAGATTTTATTTATTTGACAGACAGCAATCACAAGTAGGCAGAGAGGCAGGCAGAGAGAGGGGGAAGCAGGCTCCCTGCTGAGCAGAGAGCCCAATGCGGGGCTCAATCCGAGGACCCTGGGATCATGACCTGAACCGAAGGCAGAGACAACCCACTGAGCCACCCAGGTGCCCCAAAAAAGGACTATTTTGGGGGGGAACTGTTTGGAGCCAAGCATTTCCTTAGCCACTCACAGTCAGTCTCGAAGTCCTAAAACTGTATTTTACAAAGTATCACATTAGCACCCTGGTTTGACTTCCTTCCGATTTCTAGCACTGGGAAAAAAAAAATAGCCTTTTCTATGATTTAGGTGTAGGACCTAACTGCAGAGGAATTTGCATTTGTATGAAGGGGGCTGAAACCCAGCTTCAGAATCAGCCAAGATTTTATTATTTTATTTTATTTTATTTTATTTTATTTTGTTTTGTTTTGTTTTATTTTACTAGCGAAGCAGAGAGTATCCTAATAAATCCTCCTTTCCTCTTTCAGCACAGTTAAAAACCCATCTTTGAGCTCCACTGACTCCATTAGGTTAGAACCTGGGTATGAGGTACAAAGGGAGGAAAATTAGAGGTATGTGGGTGGAGAGAAAGAGAAGAAAGAGAAGCAGGGCACGGAGCAAAGGAGAAGTGTGGGCTAGCACCTCGTGTCGCCTGGTGCTCAAGAACAACAAGGCAGAAAGAGGGTGTGTGACAAACACAGACATCCCAGCTTCACATGGGACCCGCCAGTCCACATAGGGCTCACCTGTACCCTGCACATGACCTCACCCGAACTCCTTTGACTTCAGTCTCTGTTTTTGGACTTCCTAATTTAGCTTCTGTTTTAGCGTTTCCGCAATACTAACTTTACTACAAAAGGTAAATGTCTTGTAAACTAATGGGAAACATATTGCTTGGCATAGTTTATAATGTCAGGATTTATAGCTCTAACACTGAGGGTCTTTCTGACCTCGAAGATAACATAATGAACCAGCAACGTGCTGCAAATGGCTCAGTGTGATTTTTATTAGTTCTCATAATTGCTCCTTATTAATTTGTATGCACGTAATAAGCACTCACCTTCACAGTCTGTCCAGCTTCAGGCCCATCCTGGAAGAAGGGAAAAAAAAATAGATAAATAACAGGGTGATACTAGATAGATGGTATCTCCTGCTTATTCAGAACTATCTCCCGTTAATAATTTAGAACCAATTTCATTGTGTGTTAATTTATAGTATTCTCATGGGGACCATTCACCTCGAATGTGTGGGACCAGACAGTTCTCCATTTCCGACTGAGAGTAAGTGAGAAGTTATGTATAAAAATGATATAAATTATCCAGTGAGCCAACCCTCTTGCCACTTTCCATGCTCTTTGCTCTTGGCTATGGTTTTAATTGCATTAAAGAAGGATGGAAATGTTTGGGGAGGTAAATTATCACACCTTTTGGTTATCTTTAAATCAGATGTAGTTTAATTAATGTCTGATTACTAGAGATCTCTACTCAAAAAAAAAAAAAAAACAAAACCCAAAACCAAAACAAACAAACAAAAAACCCTGCTGTAAACATAATCCATTAAGCAGGAAATGGGTTGTCTTATATGAGAAGATCACCCAAGAGTGGGCCCTCTCTGACTGTCCTGACCTTAGGAGCGGGGATAGGGGAGCATTCATTATTGCTGGGCCTTTTTCCCATCCTGGTTCCTCCTCTCAGCTTTTTAAAACCCAACAAAACTATTGGTTTAGCTGAAAATAAGCTAACTTGCCCAGTCATCATCATAATACAAAGCAAAAGCAAGTGTTTAGCGGGTTTGAGATACCAAGCAATGCCTACAGTCAAAAACTGTAAAACTAAAATAGAACCCTGCAACTTTTAGCCAGTCTTTCTACCTCTGCAACCCAGACTAATGGGTAAGCATGTTTGCCCTGCTGTGGCCAAGATGAAGTAGAACTCTGCATCAGTGGTTTTCAAACTTGAAGTCACGGCCCATTAGTGGGTCATGAAGTCAGCTTAATGGGTTGTGATCAGCACTAAAAACAAATCAGATAATACAACGAAAATGATTAGAGTACACTGAAAGGGTAAATGCTATTTTGTAAAACTCTGGTTTCCTTTGTCTATATATGTATCCATGGGAAGGGAGGGTCACACTGCTGTGGAATAAATATCCTAGTGTGGTTTAAAGCTTTAAAAGGTCTGAAAACATGGCATATATGAAAGTACTCCAAGTGTTATGCACAAGTTAGTTCCTATGTTTATGAGATTCACTTTCTAGTAAATCATGTTAGATAACTAGCCCTGGCTATTTCCAGTGAATGTGAATTTTCTTCTAGCATTTCATTTAACACCGACAGATGTCTTCAGCCACTTGCCTTCCATTTCCTTCCTTCTCTGGAAACATGATTTGTTGCATAAGCTTGATAAACCGACCCTGAGATTAATTACCTGCATGAAGGTAACTCAAGTGGTTTGACATACAACACACACACACACACACTTTAAGGGGAAGTTTACTCTCAACACAGGGTAGCAAAAAAAATTTTTTAAAGTGTTTTTTTTTTTTTGTTTTGTTTGGTTGGTTGGGTTTTTTAAAAGATTTTATTTATTTACTTGACAGAGATCACAAGTAGGCAGAGAGGAAGGCAGAGAGAGAGCGGGAAGCAGCCTCCCTGCTGAGCAGAGAGCCAGATGTGGGGCTCGATCCCAGGACCCTGAGATCATGATCTAAGCCCAAGGCAGAGGCTTTAACCCACTGAGCCACCCAGGCACCCCTAAGAAGTGTTTAACAGCAGTTTTAGTCCAAGCCTTTCATAACCTGAAAATAGTGGCCTTCTTTATCTGTTGTCTTTGAAGGTCTGTGGTGGGGAGATGAGAAGGGTAGGAGGAGGATGGCAAGTATTCTGCATAACTAAACCACCTAGGTAAAGGTATCACATGATGGAAGAAGCCAATTCTTTCCAAAGGGTCCCTGCAGAGTCATCCGATTTCAAGGCTGTTGAGGACTTTAATAATTAAGTATTGATAGCCCCCACTCTTCCCATGGGAAATCTGAAGGGGCATAAGATATGTTCTATTGATTTACTCAATTCCCACAACTGATGACTCACCACAACCTCCTCCTCTCACACTTTGTTCAACCTCTCCCTAAAAATCTCCAGTGATCTGGGGGAGGAGGGGGTCTCATTTTCTTCCTGGGAAGCAGGCCACACAGAATATCCAATCAATCCAGCTTCATACCAATCCATAATCGATCACTGGGGCTTGAGTTAAAGAGAAAAGGAACCCTCTGAGGGCAGTTTCTACGATCCTAAAGTAGAAGAGGGCTAGGCCCATGCAGTGCTCAAGACGTATTTACCATGCAGTAAAAATGACTTGCCCAGCCCCAGTTCTGGGAAAAGATCTGGAATGTCTTATTGCCCATGAAATCACGTGTCTATTATTCCCACCTGCTTCGTAAACAATGCCGTAGACAGTGTCTCAGCTGACAGTCTACAGTCCACCTTGGGGCCCATGGGATAGTAGGGCGGTCCTGGATTAGATACACCTTTTTCTGCTACTGTATAAGACATGAACAACTCACCTTACCAGTGAGATGCCGCTTAAAAGAGAGAGAGCCCAATGCTAGGGGGTGAAAAGGAAGAAAAATAACTTCTGAGCTATCCGTACACTCACCTGAATGGAAAATGTGAGAGAAGTCCCCTGGAAATGCTTCTCCACCACCATCCCGACCCTCTGGGTCACCTGAAACAAATCCGCCACCTCATTGGGATGCAGGTCTCGGAAACGCTCCACCGGCCGAAGGGGACACACGAGGACATCTGTGGTGAGTTCTGTTAAGGCACACTTCGCTTGCTTTGGGTAGTATTTTTACCAAGAAATTTATACCCCTAGTACTGAATCCCCTTGGCCAAGGGCCTGAACTCTCAAAGACTAAGGAATAAAAGAACAAATATTTATCAACCACCAAACTCCAAGAAGTTCAAAAAGAGCTTATAAACATGGTTAATTATACTTGGATGGCGCACTGAAGAAATTCTTTTAAGGGAAAGGGACATTAATGTTCAGAGAGACTCAAGTACTGGCTGAAATAATTATGCCAAGAGGCAAAATCTATTCTGGACCATTATCTCCTGACCCCAATTCGAAAGCTCTGTCTTCTCCAGCAGCTAAAGGCACTGGGTTGGAAAAGCAAGCAGACTATCCATGATTAAAATTTTAATTTCAATATCTCTTTAGAGAAAAATGTAATAAAAATACTATAAGAGATGTTTTATTTATGTTTAAAAGGAGTGTCGACATTCTGAAAATGTACCATGCCCTTCATTTCTGATAAGAGATGTGCCACGTGGTTAAGCAATTTATGACAAGTGTTCCTCAAGTTGATTATTAAGAATTCAGAAAGCCAGCTAAAGGTAAATCATTGACTTAAGAAAACAGGGTTTTTTGTTTTGTGTTTTTTTTACTTAGGCAAACAAAACCATCTTAAGACAAGTCACCGTAGTTACGCTATTGGCCTGAACAAACAAGATCTAAAGAAAAAGAAGATGAGTTTGATCGCACGTTGGTGGCAAATCAGTACTCAATGTTACAGCATCAATAACATTTCAGTTGTCTTTGTATTTGAACTCCTCACATACGTGTGGCTACATGCATACAATCAGGCATATGTGTGTGTGTGTGTGTGTGTGTGTATACATATACACACATATTCATACACACAAACATACACAGACAGATATAGTAATTTTTGTTTAGTTTTCAGGTACCAGCAGAGGAAAAAAAGTGTTCTAATGCTCTTTTCTGTTTCTCTCTTTTTTTCCTGTTTCTTGTTGTTTTATAAGAGTGTGCTTTGCCTGATGCTAAGCTGCTAAGGGGCATAATAAAACCCCAATTCTAGGACTGCTAGTCTCACCAGAATATCAAGCACTGTGGCCCATCATACTGGTAGGACTCAGAGCCCAAAGGGAAATGCACCGAGCTCAGCTGGGTGGGCCTGATTTCCATAAGAGAAGAGGGAGGGGGGCGGAGAGAGGAAAAACTGATTAATTTTGCTCATAATCAGGAAATTCATGTCAACGGTAAACTAGGAAAAGGGGCATTTGTTTAATCTGAGTTCATTTTTCAAGAGAGGAGAAGGGAAGCCTTCACCCACGGGGCATCAGATACTTAAAAAGATAATTATCCTTCTTTGGCAGGGCTGCTTTATTATCATGGGTCAATGAACCGTTTAGAAATGAAGAATTTCCTTTCATTTCCTTTTAGCAGATTGCCAGCCTCCACTCCCACTGAGTTGCCTTTTCTTTGTTAAGAGACCTTTTCCCATCATCTTCCTTCCAGCACCTCCTTCTCCTTCCTCCTCCCCACACCCTCCCTTAGGGCCTGACTTCACCAAACCACAACAACATGACAACTTTGCAGGCTTCCAACAGTACCCACAATTGCCGTGGTGAGCTGTGTCTAAACACGGCGACCAGGTGGGGAAGGAAGGACATTTTATTTAAACAATGGCTCACTGTAAGAATTATTGGACTGAATCTGAAATTCTTTGTACCTGATGTAACTTCAGTAATATCAATGACATCTGAAAATTTTTTTTCGTCCCAATGTCATAAAAATATTTTATCAGTTCATTCTTCTTGTCTGATGCTAAGGATTGGCTTGACCCAATGTTTAATGAATCAAAACATTTACGGAAGTGAATTAAAATGGTTGAATCTGTCAGCTGTTTCATCCCGTGTACACACAAGGGCAGGGTCGTCTACGTGATATACATTTATTATTTTAATTGAAGGTTAATAACACTAATAACAACAATGTCAAAAAGCAGTTGGGCAGGCTAAACGCATTCTCTTTTAGGTGAATATTTTTCACCAGCCCATTTAGGTCATGTTGCCCTGACATGTATATTTCCTGAAATCTAATCCTTTATTAAGAAAGCTTCTTATCTGCCTGCAACAAACGATGTCTCCATGTGAATGACAGGATGAAACAGGGTTCAGTTTTAAAGGTGCTTACTCAGGCAGGTGTTCATGTAGGTAATCATTGTCTTTGTGTTATTGGGACCCAGCAGACGGACAAATAGGCATCTTGACCCAGCAGTGGACACATGGGTAGGCTTCAGAGGAGTCCACAGGGAGGTAGATGGATCTGGATTTACACAGGGTGGGTGGGGCTCTGGAGCTCCTGGCTACTGTGTGAGTCACTGACCTGACCAACAGCAGATTCCCCAGGCCATTCTAGGTACTAAATGGCATCAGGAAGTCAGGACCAACCACCATCCCTTAGTCCCTCTGAAACCAGAGCAGAAAAGAGCCTATGCCCTAACCCCAAACCCAGGCTACGTCCCCACTGCTGCCTACCCTACTTCCTGCTGCTTTTCTTCCCCCACTGCTCTGCTCTGCACTATACATCTGCCACATCTGCCTTTCTTCTGTTCGTCTAACACATTCAACTCCTTCCCAGATGGGGGGAGCCTTCGTCCCAGCTGTTTGTTCTGCCTACAATTCAATTCCCCATGATCTTCGCCTGGCTGCTTCTTTCTTATTCTGATTCTAATTCCAGGGCTCCCCTCCAAGGAGCATTCCAGGACCACCAGTTTCAACAGCTACCCAGTGACTCTCTCTTCTGTCACCCGATTTCCATCCTGCCAGGGGCCTTGCCACCAGCTAGCAGTTTTCTGGGTTGGCTGCTACCTACCTGAATGAGAATGTCAGTTGCACAAGAGTGAAGACTGCCTTGTTTACCACTGGCTCACCCCTGCCCGGAACACCAGACTTAATAAGCTTTGCTGCAATGAGGGAATACATTATGAACCAGACCTTCTTATCAGCTACCTCTGAGCACGAAGACCCTGACAAAATGGAGACAACACCCATTTTTTTCAGCCGTCTCCACAAGGTTGGGATGGTCCGCAAGATTTTTTTTTTTTTTAATTCAAAGAGATCTATTCCTAACATGTAGCATAATTGGAACCAATGTCAGATGTGAGCTAGAAAAACGTAAACTTGTTTTTCACGTAAATGAGTTTTCATACGAGCACAAAGGAAATATAATGATGAGGGTAAAAATCTTTGTGAAAAACCCTTTTTATGTATGTATTAAAAATTATAGAAAGAAGTGGTTTCTAGATTATTCAGAGTCTCTGGTAAACTAAACCTATCAAAATGCTGCTTTATAGTTTGATTAGGGACTGCAATTCATTTGTTCACTCAGTGAACAGGGGGCACCAGGTAAGTGTGGAGGCTGTGCCAGGCTCTGGGAAGAGCAACGGAGAACAGGAAGTTGCTCCTGTCCTTCCAGTCCAGGAGAGAGGCACTGGACCAGGTTAACTGTAGTACCGTGGGAGGTACAGATGGAGAATTTGAAGATAAAGAGGCAGAGGGAAGCACCCAATGCAGCCCAACCTGGGAACCATAGTGAGGCAAGGGTTCCAGGGCAACCACAGGTGACCTCCAAGATTGATAAAGTACTCCGTGTTTCCCGAAAATATAAGCAGGTTCATAAAGGATTCAAAGCAGGTCAGCAAACATTTTCTGCAACACGTCAGATGGTCAAATTAAAAGTTTGATGGGCTATATGCCTAAGCAGCTCTAGACAAGACAAACAACAGTAGGCATGGCTATGTCCTATTCAACTTTTATTTTTAAAAGGGGCGGGCAAGCCATATTTGGCCATGGATCTTTTAATGTCAACCCTTGGTTTAGAGGAATCACATTAGCAAGAGGTAACTAAAGGAAGCTAGAACTATGTGGGGGCTCCATTCTTTTCCTGAGGTGAGGACTACAATGTTATTTAGATAGAATATTGGATAAACATCATTTTGGTATCTTAAAAATTGTCAGTTTCTAAGGAAAACACCTGAACACGATAGAGAAATTTCATGAACCTGTGCAACACTTTTGATGCGTTTAAAGAATAATCCCAGTCAGAAATTGTGTTACAGTGATGATATCATGTAGATAAATCCTTAAGTGTTGTTCCCCAATGCAACTAAAGGAGTTTCTGCCATCTTTAATTGGAAGAATGAAACATATGATCTACAAACACATGAGAGCACCAGAACAGTATGTTATTCACAAATTCAACTGAAAATAAAGGCGTTTTCTCAAAATAAGTGCATAAGCTTTAGAAGAAAACACCATATTGCTTAAAGATGGTGGGTATCACGCACTACATGATTCCCATAGACAAACAAATCAGGGAAACCGAATTAATTTTGAAAAAGCAGACAGCTCTTATAATCCTACTGCAACTTTGTATATGCCAGTAGTTTTAAGGTAATATCACAGATGCAGAATAATTTAATTTAGAGATTCCTAGGCATCGTTAATGAGCAAATCCCACATTATACTTGGTCTATTACAAGACAACTTCTTTTGCATCCTCTTTGCTTGTGATTAATACCTCTGAAGAGACTTTTTAGCCAACATGCCTGATACCCTCAAAGAAGTTAATCTACAGAATTGAATTTAATATATGTTTATTCAGGACCCATCATGGGTGAGAACCTGTGAAAGAGAGTATCAAATAGGATCTGGTCTCTCTCTCTCTCTAATCTAAAGGAGACAAGGCCATTCAGTAGTAAGATTTTTTTTTTTTTTTTTTTTTTTTTTTTTTTAAAGAAGAGAAGGGAATAGTTAGAGTTTAGTTCCTGTGGTCTACAAAGAAACTCCTCATAGCAGAGGAATATCAAAGACAACTTCCTAGAACAGATGAGATTTCAAGTGAATTTTACAAATGAGGGAGTAATTCAACCAGTGGGCCGGCTGGCAACCCACTCATCCGTCCATCCCACCACTACAACCTCCTCTCAGTCCAGGGTTTCTGCTAGCGTTTTGGGTGCCAAGATGAATACAGCAGAGTAACTGATCTTGAAGGGCTCACACTCTGATGTCCCAAACTGTCATATAGTCTAAACAGATCATCACAACACAGAGAGATGAAGACTATTGATAGAAATCAGTACAGAATGTTGTGGGAGCTCAGAGGAGGCAGAATCTAACTCTGCCTAGGGGTGTGAGATAAACTTTTCAGCATGGTCTTGCATTTCAATTTTCTAAAATCAGAAACTATTTCTCCAAATTTAGGCCAAGATCTGTCCTTGAAAATGGCCTAGCAACTTGTGGTTAGCTTTAAAGAAAGTTGTCAGACATTCCTTCTTTGGCCACAATCACTGTTTCATTTAGAGTGTACTCTCCATTTACTTAATCTTTCCAACAAACCCATAAAGTACTGTTATAATTCCTATTTCACAAATGAGGAAATTATAGCTTATAGAAAAAGAGAAACTTGTGCAAGACACTCAACATGAGACTAAAACTAGAATTCTACCCAAGCCATGCAATTCCAAGGTCCATGTTATTAACCACAATGCTGTGATGTTGTACTTTTTGTACTATTAGGACTCAGTCTCTGCCCACCCTCTTATTAAAAGTGTGCCCTGAATTC